ATTGGTATCATCCTAGTAATAATAATGGATTATCTTAACAGTGTGGTTTAGTAACATTACTAAGATTGTCTCTGAGTTCTAAGATTGCCTTTATTCTATATGGTATCTGTTTTTGACAGGGAAGAGCTAGTATGATGGATTTCCCTATCTTTTTCTAAGGTAGAATATTGTTCTCATATTCCTATAGGCTTTCATAAAACACTGTTTTTAAGAATCCAATGCAGAGGATTTTATTTAATAGCCACTATTCAACTTTTAAAATAGTCACTGACAGTTGCCCCTAGAGTGTTCTTATTCTAATTTATCTTGGTTTTGGAAAAATACTTAGGATATAGTTATTCCTTCCCACCTATTCTCTTTCCACAACACAAACTGCTACCCCATGTTGGGTCATTCTTATTGAGATTTACAGTACTCATTTCTGTTTTGGTATTAATTTACCAACCCCCCTTTTTAAAAAAGATTCACAAATGCCACCGAAAACAACACTGTCTGATAGACAATAAATGCCCATGTATTATACGAAAAGTAGCTCATGATAATTGTTCACTTGGAAATGTAACGAAATTTCAAAAGGGATCCCTGTGTTATAGGCTATGTGTATTGTTAATTATAATCTATTCTACCAGATCATTTTACAAAGATTACGTCCTCCAAAGGTATCAAGTCAGCAGCAATGTTTGTAGAGACCCATTTCTACATGGTCATCAGAATTTACCCTTGGTCTTTACTTTTTGCCGGTCTGGTGCGTGAAAAAACAGTATCTCGTTGTTTTGGTTTTCACTCTACGGACTAATTGGGAGGTCGAGCACGTTTTTATATGTTTGTTAGCCTTTGCGTTTCCTCTTCTGTTACTGACCTATTCATCCACTTTATCCATTTAAAAAAAATTCAGGTCTTTGTCTTTTCAAAAAAGCAATTTGTAGGATTTCTTCATTTAGTAGGGATATTACCTCTATTTTGCCGGATATATTATTAACATTTTCTCCAGGATCATTGCTTTTGTTTTGACTTGGTTTATGATGTTTTTGGTCTTATAAAAAATTTAACCTTTAGATAGTCAAATCGGCTCATCTTCTTTTTTAAAGATTTTATTTATTTGTTTACTTATTTGAGAGGGAGAGCGAGATTTCAGCTCAGGTTGCTCAGGAGAGCGAGAGCACAAGTGGGATGAGGGGCCAAGGGAGAAGCAGACTCCCTCGAGCAGGTGAGAGTTTGATCCTGAGATCATGACTTGAGCCAAAGGCACATAATATATATATATATATATATATATATATATATATATATATGTAATATGTATATACACTAAGATACACTTTAGTGTGTATATGTGTGTGTTTATACAATATGTGTATATGTGCATATATATAGCATACACATAAGATATATATCTACTCGTGGATAGCTATATAACCTGGTGACATATGTTTCAGTATTCTATGTTACTTAGAAGTTTTCTGTGTAACTAATAACAATTAATCAAGTAACCTGATCTAATATTATTTCCAACTGTAAACGTTAACAAAGGATCTTGGAAATTCTCTTTAAAATGACATACTACAGATCATAGTTAGTGTTGACATACAAAGCTCACCAGAATTTATATAGTGCTAAATTGTTGAACATATAATTTTGCATTTTTCTTAATTTTAAACATTACGTAGGAGTAAATGTATCTGATCAATAACACAGAGCAAGAACTCAGCAAGTTCATGTTAACCAGCCTCTTTATGAGAAGACAAGTCTAGGGAATAATCTTACAGACTTTTTAAAAACCCATACTATCAGACAAGTATGATTTACCTAAACATTTTGGGTACCTTTTTTTTTGGATTTTGGACCTAGCAGTTTCTGTGAGAGAGGGACTTTTTTTCCCTTTAAGAACCTAGTACATAGTGTTGTTTTGTTTTGTTTTGTTTTCTGGGAATTCAAGGAAGATTAAACTTGTGTATTTTATAGCCTCTAGAGACCAATCAGAATAAGGTTCCTTTTGTTTAAGTAATTTTGTAATCTAAGCCAGATTGGCCAATTTCTAATTTAAATGACCTAAGAGTACATATATGAGACATCATGGGCCTTAAATCTCTGTTGTAACTACTCAACTCTGCCATAGACAAGTCAAAAAAATAAAAGGGTATGGTTGTGTTCTAATAAAACGTTTTAAAACCTGGTAGCAGGTGTATGGTTTATGACCCATCATGTAAGGAGCTTGGAAGTTGTCAGTCTTGTAACAGCAAATAAAAAACCTGAACAAACTAAAAAATCTTTTTTCATCTGTAAGAGGAGTGAGGTCACAAGGCAGACTGCTGCTCCCCACATTTAGAGAGACAGGTGAATGCAGAGAATTGCAGTTTCACTGGAGCCAAAAGTCTGGAGCAGACACCTCGGCAGGAACCAGTGCTATGGCAGAAAAACCCGGACTGTAATTGATAAATTATTGGGATTTGTATCTGGTCTAGGGGAGGGGACATACCCAACTCCAGCCCTGTCTAGCCATCCTGGCCCACAGAAGAGGGAGTGGGTTAGGGAACTGAAAACATTGGTGGGTTCACGGACGACAGACACAGCCTCACTAAGAGTTTGAGTCCTGATCATAGGATTACAGAACCCTTCCTGCTTCCCATCCTCTGCAATTCATTCACCACATTACTAAAGGACCGTTCACAGAGCAGTTACTTTTCCCCAGTATTATCATGTCCTATCCTCAAATAAAAATTACAGTGCATTCTAAAAGGCAAAAACAATGAACAAAACAAAACAAAACCAGTTTGAAGACAGAGAGAGGAGGCATCAGAACCAGACTGATATACAAGGAATGTTGATAATATGACATATCAAGAATGTCATACACTTGAAATCACGCAGTATGTATGTCCCCATAATGTTGGGGGCTTACTATCTTTCTGAGGCTGTGAAATTCTTCCAGCATTTTTCTATCCCTGGTAGGACTTGGGTGTTGGGAATTATGCTTAAGAAGTCCAATATGTGTATTGTATTTATATAAACCCCTAACATTCCTAGAAGTGTCACATTTACTACTTTTTTGGAAAATGACAAAATAAGAAATTCTTTAGAAAAGAGAGAAGGGACGCCTGGGTGGCTCAGTTGGTTAAGCCGCTGCCTTTGGCTCAGGTCATGATCCCAGGCTCCTGGGATCGAGTCCCGCATCGGGCTCCTTGCTCGGCAGGGAGCCTGCTTCTCTCTCTGCCTCTGCCTGCCTCTCTGCCTGCTTGTGTGTACTCTCTCTCTCTCTCTGGCAAATAAATAAAAATCTTTAAAAAAAAAAAAAAA